TTTTTAAGTCCATTCAGCGGTGATCCAACATCAAGTGATACCTTTTTAAAAATCATAGAGACTACCGCTTGACATAAATTTTAAAGAAGGGACATTTACTTCATTGAAAGAAACATCGAAAGTCTGTTGTTAACAAATAACACTATTACAAAAGTATTTGCTTCTCATGAACATTCGTGATAATGACAACCTAGCCACATAACTGAAAGCTTCTTATTTAGTCCGTCAGTGTTAAATAGTTCATTGTACTTTTTCGGAATACTTGAGAAATTTGCCTAACTACTCTAGGGTCATGCAATAATAAAAAGAAGCAGACTTAGATCATTGCAAACTATATTTCGAAGGAACCAGCGATCCCTTTGAGCTTCATTCGGCAAAACGGCTGTACTTAATAAAGATTATAAGCATTAAAATAGTTTGTTTCCTGTCAGTTTACCCAGTATACCATGTAGACATAGCAATCCGGCAAATGTCTGAGGTATGCAAGAACTTGAGTTCTATCATATTCTTGATTGTACTACTTCATGTAGGTAAAACTCCAAAGGAAAAGTAGCCATGTCGTTTTTCTAAATATTAAATCACAAAGCATGGACTTCTATGGGTTTTTGTCATGAAAGGTGAATTATAATGTCCTAGCAGCCAAATAACAAATGTCAAAATATGTAAACAATATTTCGCATACCAGATAGTAACCTTGGTCGACATAATGGCTCATTTAATTACTCAGCCGTATTACTACCAGTTAGTATGAATGATCTGAATAATTAAAGCTAAAATATGAAACATGTATAATTTTTCACGAGCAGACCATTCATCTTAATCTATCTTTATTAATTTGTCAAAATATACAGTATATTTTGCACATTACTTCCAATCCATCTATTCATTTATACATTAACTATTAGTTTACATATTGTCTTCTTTTACATATTGTCTTCTGTAGAAATATGAAACTACTTAAGTTTTTAATTAATTCATATAAAGGTGATTTTATCTTATATAATGTTTAGTAACAATGAAATGCACGATAAGTGGTATAAAGTGAAATAACGTGCCAATCTTTCACACAAATAACATATGTATTACCATAATCTGTCACACTAAGGATGCGGAAAATTGGTTATTAATTATGTCAATTTAAACTTAATTTTTCATTTTTTTCTACGATTATAAATATAATTACAATATGCTTTAACATGATAATATTTTACAGCAGAAATTCACTTAAGCACAATATTTACATCTTAAGATTCAAGTTTTACAGTTAATTCAAACAGACTAGCTTTCATGTTGCTTCTGAAAGATATTACTATAATACTTGGCAAGAAATATATTTTGCATGTGTTGTATTTTGGCAAAATTAGTGTTTATTGGTGTTTGTTATTGTTTTTATTGCTTGTTTGTTTGGTTTGTACGTTTGTTGTTTTCGTAGGTTTTTCTTTCGCTAATGCATGTAGCAATCTGATTTTAAACTAGATTGTTATTTTGTTTGTGCTTAGACATAGGTGGTCTAATTGGTAAAATTGGTAAAAATTTGTTGTGTTTGGTTTATTTTTTTTAATCATTTGTAAAGGTATGTAACTTTGAATGTTTGTAACTTAAACTGATAAGATAATTAATCGAATTACAATGTTGGTATTTTGTCAACATAAAATCTCCGATATTAGTTACAACAATTAATGATTTCATTTCTGTCAATTCAAATTATTTGAATTACATGTTGTGTGTAAATGTAAACATGTATCATTCAATAACACACATATTATTTCTAGGACAAATTCGCAAAACGTCAGCAAAATAATCAATAGGTTGTTTTTCTTGTTCTGGTTTGTTATCATGTGCATTAAATGCATGTACCCTTATCATCATACTTGAGGAACAAGTTTATTCCTATCTCATTATGTTTAGTATCTACGTCTCTGTTATTTTCTTATCCCTATCACTGTCTCTCTGAATATAGCACTGTGTTAGGTTACCTTCCCGTTACATAGTCTCGGTCAGGATGCTATCTGACATTATACAGTCCTACGGTCGATTACAGATTTTGAAGCAGTTGTACTGTATCCTTACAGGTGAATGGTATTGTAGCACCAATTGATCGGCTATTTGGCTGTTTAATAATGGAAGACAACGGTTTAAGAATCGTGTACAGTTTAAAGTTACATTTTTGCAAGAACTCATTATATCGTTACTTAAAGTAGTATTACATTACACTTAACTTTGGGAGTTAAATATAGCTAAGCTACAACACATTAAAAGTAATATCGGTGTAACATCTTCTGTCATTCTATTGATATGCAATGACGGCAGTCAAAGAGAAATAACAAGCCATTCTAACCTGTTTACATTAAGTTGAATTTGTTTATAATTGTACAGGCATATTTAAATCAAAAATGTTTGTCAGAATTATTTTTAATCATAATTGTAACGGGACAGACTATATTTCCTTTAGATGTCAAATATATACATTCGTCTTATATTATCGAAGATTACACTCTCTGTATCTGTTTTCATCTGAAACCACGAGGTAGAACTACTTTCACTGTGAACTTATTATGAATAATAGCCGAGGATGTTCCGATTGGGTAGATGCGAGTGTGAGACTGGAATGATTTGCTGTTTAGCAGATCCACAGATTTTTGCCATATCTGATTACAGAAGTTTGGACAACCTCTCTTATTGTTTGGGAGAACAAGTAGTGAAAATGTATGCTCTGATGCTTTAACTAAGTCACAGTTTGGATTTTGCTTTGAATCATTTGAAGGTCAAGTAGGCAAACCTGCAGGTCAGAGAGCTTTTTCTCAGGATATTGTATTGGTAACCATGTCTACTTGAAGATCAGTCAAGATGTTCGATATTACAAGAAAGCAGAGGGAGTCTCTGAATGTTGAGGTCATCTAGTTGTACAGAGTTTTCCATGTTGTAGAATGCTGACGTTAACCTTTTAGTGAATATGTACGTAGTCTGGTTGCCTGCCTACATTTATTACGGAACGTAGTATAAGGGGAAGGAACTCCAGACTATTGTGTACGAAGCATGGTGCCGTTTTCTATGACTCTTTCAATCGGAAACTGTACTAGTAACTTATTGAAACAAACGACTATGACTATGAATTCTGAATATGCTAAAATTTAAGTTTTCATTGCAAAATGTTCACCTATCTAAAATGTTGATTTGACCATTGATATTATATACTCACGTGTATATTGTGTGTATTTGGCTCTAAGCATGTGCACATATGTATTTATAATGTTATAAAGGGCTCATAAATTATCTTATGAACTGGGAAATAAATCAGCAGCACGTGACATGTTATACCAAGTGAACATTTACCACCGCCACATTGGTTTGCGTATTTGCCAATGATATATGTTTACAAACCTTAATACAGGTATTTCAATAAGTTTTGTATTATCTATCTGCTTTCTTTAAATAGCACCAACTAGATAGAATAAATAAAGTTTTAAGCAAAAATCTTTATATCTACTCAATATCTGTAATACCCTACTGACTGTAATATATCATAGATAAGATTTTTTTAAATAAATCTATCGGACTTCTTGCTAACTGGAGTATGTGTATATAACTTCCTGTTATGTAGCTTCAGGGATCTATATCGATGTTATAGTTTTTGATGTTTTTTTTCTATTTTCAATAATTTCAATTAAGATATTTGTTAAAACCTTACCTACATATAAATATGTGACTATATTTTTTGTTTTCATAAAATACTACTACATTTGCAATTCATGTGGACCATAAAGCTGTATAGATTTAATTATGTTGATACTTGATTGTGATAATAAATTTCTACTTTATAACGGAACATTGTGGTCTTTATATATCATCTAAACACGATATAATTCTATTCGATCAGTATTTATTTGGATATATCTGTTTCCTTGAAGTGTTTTGAATTAATGGCCTATAATTTGGGCAAGCATGTCTTTTGATTGTTAATAAATATTTGCGCCTTATATTTGATTTATTTCATGAATAATCTATCGCTTCAACTTAACCAAAATAGTGTACATGTCAATTGAGGAAAATTATCAGTATCAGATGATTAAATTGTATACTAAAACAGAAAAACGACTGAGTATGGTTGGTTGGCATAACATGAGTGACATTCGTAATCATCAGCTACAGAGTGGCATAATTTGTTATCAAAAGGAGGTTGTTATTTTCTTTTGATTAACTGTAATGTCCTCTCGAATAGCTCAATAGGGAAACATAGGGCTCATAACAAAGTGGTTGCTGCTTTGATTCCCGGGCAAGGTGAATTTTTTCCTGATATATTATACATCGAAACTTAAGGTCAATGGGCTCTCACCCATGTTGTATTTGTAGTCGGTCACTTGAGGGGAAATTTTAAATTACTGATGAGTTATCCAGGAAAGCCAGTAAGGTGGATCTGATAAAATGTATTAAAATCGGCGTTAAAACCAGTCAAACAGATACTGCATTATAATGGGTCTAAGTTTTGGCTAAAATGCCTATCCTACTAGGGGATACTGCATTATGTTGGGTCTAAGTTTTGGCTTAAATGCCAAAATACATAATCCAATATGTAGAACAGGTAATTGATGTACTTCATATATCTGTTGCATATTCTCACTCTTAATCACATCCCCTAGTAGGATAGGCATTTTAGCAAAAACTTAGACCCAACTAAAAATAAATTCCTTCAGAAAAGATAGATATTTGCATATTTGTAATCACTATATATGTGTTGCTACAGAAAAAAGTTCTAAAGAAACCTAAAAGTATATATATAGCCCTAAAAAAATTCGAAGTATAGAATGATCAAAATGTCATGTCTTGAAATAATATGATTGTTTAAATAAGAAAATCTATGGAAATATAAACCATTTACTCTACGAAAATATTAACAAAATAACACATTAATACACAAACGTGCTTTATTTTAATATAATATACTTGTAGGTAAATAACGTTTAAAAAGTCGCAAAACTGCATAATCTGTACATTATTATTCAGACTGGTATAAAACATGACCCAACTACATTCGTCACAATTGTGCATATTACTTCCTGCTTGTGAATTCTTTGACATTTAGTAGGAAGACGTGGAAGTTATGGTATGTTACGTTTTACTTTTTAAATTTTAATTTTTCTTGACATTTCTCAGATAATACTTAATTATTTAATCTCAAAATGTTTACTGCATTTTAACCATTGATATATGTTTTGTTTTCTTGAAATAAACAAAAAAAAATGAAATCGAAAGTAATACAAATGAAATATTTATAAATCTTTTCTCAAAATCGTCGCTGCAAAGTATCATCGATATGTGTCATCATGTCAGGACTGATGTTATTTATCAATAAACATATAGATTTCTCGATTTAACGAAAATAAGTTACATGATTACAGTGAACTCGACAGTTTTGGGTCAGTAACGAAATTACCGAGAGAAACTAAACTGCATAAATTGTGCAACAAATACTTCCTCCTTACTATGATATAATTCAACAATTCTAATGATTTGGTAAACTTATTTTTCAGAGTCTACATCTGAATATATGTAAACACAAGTTAAATTGGATCAGTAACAAAGATTTACCAAATCGTTTTTGAAAAACATTCCTAATTTTGAGAATTTCCCTCTGGCTGACCCGAAATTGGCATATGTAAACTAGGTCATATTGTCTGCTAGTTCTTCATAGAGACGTTTGACAAAAGAGATGAAAGTTTTTAATCTTGTTCAGTGGTAAATAATCTTCAAACCTTTGTGCAAAACATACCTGTATTACTTAAATTATTGATACAGTTAACAGTTTTTGCGGTGGCATGTAAACAAATATCATCTGCTTTCACTTTTGCGGGAAATGATGCCGTCAAGCGTTTCGTGATTGCGGCATCCATTCTTCAAAAGACAACATTCGAAATCAACGTGAAAGTAGCTAAGTTATTGATAAATATGACATGATTATAAAATTAATGAATAACTAAATCATTTCCAAATAATAAACATATTTTTCTGAATGTGACCCGGAATTGTCGACGACCCGGAACTGTCGAGTTCATTGTATTCTATCATTTCAAAATAAATGTAAAAATCGATATTTCATTGCAATCTTGAAGTAAGTGATATATGAATAGCCTTAAATTTAAAGAATAATCTCTTAAGTAATCAAATGTTATTATTACATATTTGATTAATATTTGCGCCGGATAGATAAACATTTTTTGTGAATTTCTTTATCGTTTTTCATTCGTCAAAAGTATGCTGCAACTTCTTTTACAAACTATGCAAATAGATATATAATCGATAGCTGACTCATACCGCAGTTTACAAAACAACAACAACAGTAAAAAACAAACAAAAACAAAACAAAACACTTTTAAAGACTATATAAACGGTTGAGGTTATCGGACAGTTTTGTACCTGTAAACACGTTAAAGAAAAACCTAACAACATAAACATTGATATGAATCGTGTATACATACGACTCAACAGGTTAATATTTGGGAAATTTGCAATTTAGGACAATTACCTAAACGTCCTACATAAATAAAAGCCAAAACGGAATGTCTTGTGAAGTATTTACGATTATACGTAATGCAATTCAGTGCAAAGCGGGAGATGTAGCTGAGAAGAAATAGAAAAAGCAATATTAAGTCAATCGAAAGTTTTGATTTAAAGTAAATAAAAAAAAATTGCAATATTATCTATTTGTAAAATAGGTTGCTGACGGAGTTCAGACTATGTACATGTAGTTTAAACAGTGCATTAAATCAACAGTTAATTAATGCTCGACTCTTAAATGCAGTATTTCATTTTCTTGAACGAGTTTATATCATCGATCATCTCAATTTATATACGAGACTGTATGTGTAAATGCACATACAAGTGTGTATGCCTTACATAGCTTTTTGTAAAAGTTTGCTTCACAGAAACGTATTTTTTTCATTTTATTCAACATTTCCATGTACTTTGTTAAATGTAAATTTTATCCTTTGTTCTTATTTCATTCAATATATCTGGTTTTCTAGTGTCTCTAAATGTTTTGTTTACCAAACATCTGAAATTATATTTATATTGTGCACAGGCTTCCAATTCGCAGATGACCACAAAAAGACTTCTTGTTGGAGCGATAGACTTTGGAACGACCTTCTCCGGCTGGGCCTTTTCTTTTAAACATGACTATGATTCGGATCCGACAAAAGCAAAGACAAAACATTGGCAGTCGAAATCAGGTACATTAGTGACAGAAAAAACACCAACATGTGCATTGGTAAATCCCGATGGTAAAACACTGAGAGCGTTCGGGTACGATGCAGAAAACGAATATAGGGAATTACTTGATAAAGGAGAAGAAGAAAATTATTTCTTCTTTAAACGATTCAAAATGGAACTCTATTGTAAGATGGGCAAAGTGAGTTTTTATATATCTTGATATTCCTGATCAATTTCCAAAAATAAAGAAAAAAACTATCCTATGCACGACTCCTCCTATAAGGATGTGTCAACCAATCATTCATTGAACGATCACCATCAAGTGCCGGTAGTTATCGGGGTTTTGTGATGCAATCACAATTGGCAGGAAACCCGATGGGACAGTAATTAATTCAATGAAGCTATACTTGAAACAAAGGTCAATTGTTAGTTGACACTCCCAAAAAGTGAATACTTTATCTTTACTACATCTCAGTGATTTTGGATTTTTCTCCTTTTTTAAAGAAAAAGTATATTTTCTGTTCTTTTTTCTTATTTTTCTTCTATGTCATGACAACATTATTAGGACAATCAGAAGACATTACTTTAAACTTTGGGCGTGTTTACGACCTGTCGCATCCGCTAATTTCTCGATTTTTATTACTGCCAAAAATAAAACATTGTAGTCTTAAGTTAAGATTAAGTTTTTATTCTAGATCACAGTGTTCTGTCAGATTTATTTTTAAATTAATTATGTGATAAGATACTTGTTTTACTTCATCAAGGAAAAAAATATGAATCAATCAATATCTTTATTCATTGCAATTTGAAAGTAAAACCTTCATTACATGTTTAAATATTATTCCAGGACTTAAAACGAGACATGACAATCGAAGACGAATTTGGCAGACCTCTTTTAGCAGCTGATATCTTTGGAATGTCAATCAAGTTCCTGGTAGATGATATGCTGAATAATGCTGGCAAGGGAATAGATGGCATAATTAAACCCTCTGAAATTCACTTAGTTGTAACAGTTCCTGCAATATGGTCCGATGCTGCAAAACAATTCATGCGTGAAGCTGCTGAAAAGGTAACAATGTAAACTATAACGTGGACTTTTATATTAGTAATTCTCATGGGCAAGTCCCCCCCCCCCCCGACCTTACTGCTTTTGAATGATATCATTTTGTCAGAACTGAATCTTAATTAGCCAGTAAGAGTGAGGAAAATATTAAAATCCATATATCAAAAAATAGTGTCTCTTTGGATATTCTGCATAGTCTTCTATCATCTAAATCTAGTAAACGCTATGTGATCGGCACACAATTATTCAATTATTTTTAACTTCATTTTAATCATGGTTGAAAATAATAAATCGAACAATAATTGTTAATTACTTTCTTAGGCTGGTATATGTAAAGAACGACTAACAATCGCACTGGAACCCGAAGCGGCTTCGTTGTATTGCAGGCATGTTCATATCCATAAACCTGGTGAGCTTGGCAATGTATCCATGGACAAGCTACCAATGGGCACAAAATACATAGTTGTTGATGCAGGAGGTATTGTTTTTTAATGTTTGATAAACATTGAATGTTTCTTTGCATATAACAGATACATAGGCGTCACATATGCAATTATATCAATATTTTAAATGGCATTCTTCCTATTGCAGAATGATTTTATACTAATAATTAACCAGTGTTGCCATAAGTTTAGCTTTTTGTATATACGCTCCTTGATTTTGGCGAATTGATTTCTTTGGCCACACAAAAGCTGACGAGTGATATCATCCAAATATTGATCCGTTGTGGTAAACGTTGTGTTAACGTATTCTAAGTTTACGTGGAGCATATGCTTAAAATAAAAAAAAATAAAAAAAAGATAATTAAAAATTCAAAAATATTTGCGGTACTTACTTTAAAACTTGCTATAACTTATTGTTTTTGGCATTGAATAACTAAAAATAATTTAAAAAGAAAGATGCATAAATTATTAAACCTTTAGAGTTCTTCGTTTCTTGTTCCCAAATCGAAAAACAAGTAAATGTTTTATTTTTGGTATTGATTTAAACTGAAGTGAAGCATATATGTACAAGGAAACTTATATAAGAAAATGTTCTCCTGAAGTGACCAAAGCATGGACGTTTTAAACTTACCTGTGAACATTTAAATTATAATGGTTTGTTTTTCTCTATTTTATCGCCACATCAGCGTTGTTTGTGCCGTGTGGAGGCCATAAAAAGTCGCCCCGTACATTCAATCAAAGATGTTATATTTCCGATCCTTAAAGATCGTTCAGCACGACCTAATTGTTGTGTTTGTGGTATTTTAGTTCTTTCTTTTCGGCATCTTTCTTGTTGGGTGGTTCCAGTATTCCTCACTTGAATACTGTTAAATCACCCTTAGGATAGGTGGCCTGTTTTTTAAATTTGTCTTTTGACGTCATATCTGTGATATGCAGTCTCAATAACCTCAGATTCCCGCTTTCAAAATTCCATTTTATTTAGTTCCGCCCATTGTTTTCTCGTTTAGGGCACATGCATTTTTTTACTTGGGGACCATATGCCGCTTTTCATAGAATGGCACTAACGTGTCACATTGAAGGTTCCATGCTAACCGTCATATGAACACATCTTTCAAAATTTTACCAATTCATGTTAAATGTTGAATTCTGCTTAAGCCGGTGCTAGGGGGCGTTGACGGTAACTTGCACTTTCCAGTACCGTCCATGAACAGGCTCAATCAAACCGTGCCTTTTACAATTTTGCCGCGTTGGGCTTTCTTTAGGGATTCTGTTTTTCTCTATTTTGAACTTTGTTACATTGTTATCGATAGTATCATACGTGACATACACGTATTATTTTCTAGGTGGAACAATAGACGTAACAGTGCACGAGACAGGAAGTGAGCATACATTGAAAGAAGTAAAACCTGCGAGTGGTGGCGATTGGGGAGGTATAATGATTGACAAGGAATTTGAAAATTTGCTTATACGTATAGTAGGACAAACTGTTTTTGAAAAATTCAAACACGAAGAAAAGGAGGATTGGATTGACATGCAACGAGAATTTGAGTCACGGAAACGAGAGACGACTGTAGACAGTGACGGGGAAAACAGGGATGAGAATACCTGTATCACTAACTGATCTTTACTATCAATACTCACAGAGCTTAACCTTTGTACTTCATTAGCATCGTCTCAGTATGCTGGTCAGATTGAGCTTAGAAGGGATAAAATGAAAATTTCTAACAAGGTCTTTGTTCAACTATTCGACAAGTCTGTGACAAAGACGATTGGTCATCTGAAGTCAGTGCTATCCGACGGCTCACTGCAAGATGTGAGAGTTTTACTGATGGTTGGTGGTTATTCTGAATCGCCCATATTGCAAGATGCAGTAACAGAAGCATTTCCTGGTATTAAAGTCGTAATACCTGTGGGCGCTTCATCAGTCGTTTTAAGAGGTGCTCTAATATATGGACACAATCCTACGTCAGTAAGTGAGAGGATTCTCAAGTATACCTACGGCATTAATTACGCACCTCGTTTTATAGAGGGAGTTCACCTAGAGAGCAAACGATTTGAAACACCAGACCATTGTATTAGATGTGATCATGTCTTCGGCAAATTTGTTACAACGGGACAAACCGTGAAAACGGGCGAAACACAAAAAACAAGGAGATATGGTACATTTAACCAGACTAATGTGTTGGTTAAAATCTATGCTTCAGAGAGAGAAGACCCCGTTTACTGTGATGATGATGGATGCCTTGAGATAGGAAAACTAATGATAGAGTTTGATGATGAAAATAATAAAAGTATGAGAGAAGTTTCCCTGTCTATGTTGTTTGGTGGGACGGAAATCACTGTTGAATTGGAAGACAAATGTACTGGTAAGAAGAAAATAACCTCTGTTGATTTTCTTGGGTAATATAGAAAAACATTTTGAAAAGGGAATTAAAAGAAAAACAGACAAGACAAGAATTTTAAACGTTACAACAAGGCAGTTTAGATATATTTTAAGACAGCAAGTTGTTGCATATATGTATACTTCAGTCAATGTACAATACAACTTATTATACAAGATAAGGCAGTGGCATACATATATGAAACAAATCAAATATTTGATCTTCTAGAGACTAATAAAATTCTATACACTATTAAAATATATATGCACAAATCGATCGACATTGATGAGTATGTTTAATTGTTATTGTTACACTTAGGTCTCATACCCGAACAATAGATTGTGAAAATTGAAATTTTGAGAAATTTTGATAAAATAAAATGCGTATTTTCATTTTCTGTATTTTTACTCCAGTTAAACTATGTATATTTTTCGTATTTTCAAGGTAGTCCCTCCGTCGGCACTTTTCTAAATTCAACTAAAACACATAATTAAAGAAAGAGTCTTTCGAGACGTAAGGTCAAAAAAGATATAAATACGGGATTTAATGTCGTATGAAAAAACCATGGTTACCGCACTCGAGAAATACATATTATCATACCAGTCGATGAAAATAAATCCTGTATTTATAGAAAAAATCTTGAATGTTGATTTTTTATATTGAAGCTAAATGATTTTGAAATCATACACTTCGAATTACTATCTTGAAAATAAGGTCGTTGTTTTTCTCAATGGAAAGTAGAATTAGATATAAGAATTTAAATGCTTATTTGGTATAATGGATTAAAGACGCACAACTTGAACTTTACATTTTAACACTACAAGTGTGTATAACTACTCTGGTCAACACCCAAATTCTAACTTACTGTACTGGGATTTTAGACCACTATATATCATGAGAGCTAGCCACATAAAATCTTACAAAATACGTATACTCCCAAATATATTATCAATCATTCTGACATATGAATTTTATACACCTTCATATATATGAATTGCGAAATGAAATAAAAGCCTTAACGTATATCTTTATGTCGACTTGTCATTTATAATAATATGATGTACAAACAACATTTATCTCAATTATACAACACTTATTCTGCAATATTTTAATGGAAGCCATATTTATATTATAACCCACTGGTACTGTGTAAAACCTTGAAAATTCTAATACTATTAATGTGTAAAACAGCAACATGTCAGTAGAGTGTGTATATAAATACAGAAGAATGTACAAAGGTTCTTTGTGAAGGGTATTTTCTTTTCTACAAGCGTAAACCAACTGGCAACTACTCTGTACTGAAACGCTTTGACAGGGTTTCTTTTTAATATAAGTTGGACCATTCAGTCTACTTAGACCTTTGTTTATCAGTATCAAAACTTGTACAACTTTTAAAAAGTTGTTTTGTACAACTTTTAAAAAGTTGTTAAAATTTCATATGCTGTAAAGCCTACACCTCATACCGTGCCAAGCAATAGACTGACATAAAGATGTCATATTGAATTTGACATGGGTGATAATTTCTGACCTCAGATTGAAGTAATCAATAAAACTGCTGTAATTAAGGTTAGATTCTTTTTTGTTAATAATAATTTCTGCTAAAACGTTAAGAAAAAACAAAACAGCATAAGTTTACCTTTAGAAAATTCTTCCAATTTTCCATTCTTCGACCCGTTTTAAGATTTGAATATTTATCAGTTTTATGTTAAATAAGAGACGAGCAATGTGGAGGCTGCTAAAACTCTGTCGTACATTCAATCGGAGATGTTTTATTGCCGATCCTCGAAGCTCGTTCATAATAGTTTAATAGCTTATGTACTTTGTTTTTCAGATATCTTTAATGAATATGTTCGCGTTTTATATTACATGGCTTTGTCTTGGATACAACAAGTTGAAAACTATTGATCCTGATTGAATTATTACTTGGAAAGCCCACAGAATGAAAAGACGCAATAATAAAGGGTTCAAGTAATGTATAACACATAGACGGTCACAATAAACTGAAACCATATGACTTTTGCATACACGGTGCTATTAGGATACTGAGGCTTGAAGTGTCACAAAGTAACAACGACATTTCAGTCATCGCCATGTATTATCTTGAAGCACTGGAGACGCTTAGCATTATTTCACATATACTTCTTTTTGTTAAAGAAAAGAAAATCTCAACTCTGCCAAACTTTACTCCAACACTTCTTCCGGTACAATGATACAAATAATATGTTGAATCCTATAATAGTTTTATTTCCAGAAATAAAAAAGTTTCAATGAATAGATATCTGGAGAGGAACCACAAGACGTAAATGAATTCACTGGTGGATTTCCTTTTTTGTTCAGAGATTAAAAAGACAGGTCACGAATATGGATATGTGAATGATTATGTTTCATACACTTGGTTCAGACCTAGATTAACAGAATAGCGGTGAACTGAAACCTACTTACCATACATAAACGAAAGAGTCCCGAGTCCTGCTAAATGTACAGCTTACGCAGGACTACATGTATATGCATTCAAGCGTTAACAATATTACTATTGACTAACCTTCGCATTTCCATGAATGTACAACGGGCACTAGAGCTATACAGGGAACTACTTGAACATATTGACGAAATTGTTTATGTAAAGAGGGTATTACGTGTATATTATCATACTGAGTTTTTTTACAGAATTAATCAAAAACAATAATGTGCGTGTGTGTAAGCAATTAATTATATCTTTTATAAAGTCAAGACATGCAATAAATTCAATATCAAAATAAACAAAACTGATGTTATTATCTTATCTTTTAATTGCAATTGAAACAATTTGTCCGTTATGGAAATGGTAAATTCAGCCATAGTCCAAAAATCTTTAACAGCACTGACAGCGGTATTACAAACATTTAATACAATGTATACAATATGGCCGGTAGGTCTAAAGTACGAAAACAAGGCTGTTTTCGCGATAATAATAAAACAAAAATCCAACTTATTTTGTTTTAACATAGATCTTTATTTTTCTTTCTTTGTCATTAATACAATACAGTAATACACTAATGTGAAAAATAAAACTTTTTAAGGGAACAAGAAAGCTTTTATGAGCTGTCGTTTGGACGCTCTAAACCTTCAATTTCTCGCTTTTTGGGTCTTTTTAAAATATAAATAGTACTGCGATGAAACACACCTAAGATTTTAAGTATGTTTGAAGATTAGATATATCTTCATTTGGCATTACAAATTTATTTTGAAATGTCACTTTATGTTTTTACAGGTTCACTTCCATAGCTATTATTTTGTTCATCTGAAGAAAAAAATTAGTTGCATAACTTGTAATTATTTGAACACTTTTTTCTTTTTTATTGATCTCCTTTCTTATTGCACCTCTTTCTCTCCGTCCGTGTTGTCACTTGTCAAGATTTTCTGCGAATTTCATAAAGTCATCCATTTTTACTGTGATTTATATGTGAAATGCCTCCAAGGACCCCGCTGTTTCTGCAAAAAAAGAGGATATCAAGGATAATTTAATGAAAATACATATCTATCTACAAATTTGGTGTTGAATTGTTTGTGTGCCCCCACTTTAGTGGCGGGCATTTAGATTTACCATCGTCCTGAGGCAAAAACACGTTTCACTCACATTAAAATTTGTTATACATTAGTCTAATTATTTATTTGCTGATTTGCAAACTTTACTCTGTTATTCCTACAAAATATTTCAACTTGGACAAATTTACGGAGCCAACATTAATTGAATAATATATAAGCATTTGCCTTATCAAGTATTACAAGTCATTTTGTCGTGACATATTTTGTATTGTGAATTACGTCTTATGACTTATGTATTTTGACTTTTGTATTATGTCTAATGTATAATGACTTTTGTATTATGTCTTATGTATAATAACTTTTGTATTATGTCTTATGTATAATGAAATTTGTATTATGTCTTATGTGGTATGAAATTTGACAATTAAATAATTTGTATTTAAAAATATGGGTCTTGTTCCCTCAATATCAGTGTTTCATATATTCACATATAGTGTCTAACTAGCAAGAATTAATTCGATAAAATATCATCATTCGGTACATCTGGCTTTGTACTTGTCAGATTAATCATAAATCGATGTCTTGTATTTTCCTTTGTAAAAAGAGTCACAGGTAGAAGCTGAATGGCCAATATGTTTACCATCTATGGATCTCCATAAGTTTATCTTTTCCAATGTTTTCTGGGTCTTTTTTTTTTCTTATTGGTCTGCTATGTTCTGAACTAGTGCCTGAATACTTTTATTACTCGCATTAACCTGAAGGAAAATTAATTTATATTTTATACAGAATAAAGTTTCACACATGTTTCAAAATGTGTCTGTTTTGCAAATATCTTGATACTTAAACTTTAACAGTTAACATGATTCACCGTACATATCCAATGACGCAGGAATGTGCAATTATCGTAAAAGTAACGCCGAATCTGTGCAACGCTATTGCCAAAACGAATAACACAGTAAGTAAACGAACAAAACTATCTTATTCTAAATCAAATTTAAAGAAATGAATAAGCGCATACGGCTGCTACGACATTATACTTTAACCAGCATTACACTTTTTTTGTTTACTCTCTTAGATCATCATTGAGAAATACAACCTGATTACCATTTTGAAGGAGACTTTTGTGTTTCGTCAAATAAATATGTACATTTTTCACAATTAAAACATTTTTTTTCATATTCTGTATACCTAAGACATTGGTCAGACTACAAGTGTCGTATAACAATAGAAGGACGCTGGTAAAATAGGATAATGAGATACCCGCCGTTGCGTCAGTGCTTCATTCACGAATTCGGCGTAACCTCGTAAAAATGCACATTCCTGCAATACTGGATATACACGGTGTGATTGTTGTGTCCTGTGACGTACTTTTTTCATCTGAGATTATCCACATTCGAACGCTAACCATGAAAGGGAGATATTTATTCAAGTAAGAAGAAATACACTACTGTCATACTGTTTAAATAGCAATACTTACCACAGCGTCTTCTGTTTCACT